TTATCCATCTCTTACCTTCCCTGGAATAGTAATAGTGTACTGGCAATTAGGGTTCTAGGGCCCAATAGGTATTACCCCCTTTTTTCTCTGCATTATGCTTCGATTAGTGGTCCCGCGAGGCCAGCACCCCGCCTCACACTCGGAGGCATACACCCCTCGGGCCACTCGTGAGCTAGCCGCCTCACATTGTATCATAGAGAGGACCTCACCTGTCACTCCCTTCCTATTTTCTGGTTACTGTCACCGAGAGGCCAACATCCTGCCACAACGTTCGGTGGCCACACAAAATCCCCTCGCGCCAAGCATAGATAGAGCCTCTCAAGCCACTTGGCAACTAGCAGGGCCTCACCAGTCACAAAAAAAAAAAACACCAAGCCTAATCGTTTCGCCTTACGGCTTAGCTAGCAAGCCAGTACAAGAACCCTGGGTACAAATAATAATTGCAATCTTTATGGTTATTTAAGTATTTCTCAAAAGATGGTGAAGAATCACCTCTTCCTAGCACCCCGGCTAGAATTGATACACCTTCAAGCAGAGGAGATGTTGCTAGTCCAGCAGCAATCAGATCCTGGACGATCCCACACATTACCACCGACCTAAGGAGGTGACAAATCCCCTACCCTGCTACAGCAAGGAAAGCAGTTATTCAAACTCCTCCATACATCAACGGACAACACGGAGGCAGGGGAAGGCCCAGCTACATCAACTCAGGTGACACCCAGGCTATGCTAGCTTCACTCATAAACTCATGAGCCAAAAAATTTATGACAGACTGGCAATCTCGAGTTGGTCACCACAGCCCTCACAAGGCTGGGCCTCACGCTACTGTACAACCAGCACCAACCGAAACTCGGTTACCTGGTACAATCAATTCTTATGACACACAAGATGTTAAACCTGCACGTATGATCCCAGCACATTGGGGAAGCAAGGCATATATATGTATGATGATGTATCTGTGATGGTCAGATCCAGGGATTCCAGGTAAATCGGGAACTGACCATCCCTTGGTTGGGTTGGCATTTGGAATATGTGGAGATGTTTATTTGTGCAGGTACCCATACAGAAGGGATTTTGTCCCAAACAAATGGACGAGCACTCTCAGGCTCCAGGTACCAGCACCTCTGAACTACCAGAGACCACTGATATGAGTAGTTGCATTGCATATAGACTGTTGCATATATGTTCAAATAGTTCAGGGCACATGACAAACCATGTGTCCCAATACAACTTACAAATAACGTATTCACCATCTGTACACACCAATGCATTTTCAACACTACTGACTCATCACCCTTCCAGACTTGTAGTAGATTTACTAAAGCTCTGGAGCTTCAAAGGGCTCCCATACAGGTATCATAAACACACCTTCAAGGAATATAGCATGCCCTCACTTACAGTCAGCACAACAAAACCATTGGCTGTAAACACACTCATAGCCAAGATTTGCAGAGGGGTCTTCCAATCTCCACCATTTACAGCATGGCACCAAACACACACATTGGTATTGTCACAAGGAATCTTCCCTTAAACAAAGACTAACCATAGACTTATTGGCACCACACACCTCCACTACCCCAAGTCTCAACTCCCTCATACCCTCCGAGGATTTTTCTTACTATACAACACCATTGATCTACCTTTACAGCTATCACTCAAGCATGGGTTGAAGCTTGGTTAAGTAAGACCAATATCATCAACGCAGTAAACGGCTACAATCTACCCTACACACTGGCACTTACATGGCATTAATTGGGCAATCCTTTCCCCGCTCAACTTTCGAGCTACAGATTAGCCTACTATCGATATTCGCAGATACTTTGTGCTGGTTATGATAACATATCCAGAGGCCTTACAGTCATACACTATCTAGAAGACTTCTTGTTAATCAAAGAAAGCATATTTTTCACTAGAAGCCTCACGGCAGCTTAGTCTGGTTGACCACTTGGGCGTCCCAGTACCCCATAAGAAACAGAAGGCCTAGACACTATCTTCACATTACTGGGCATATGACTTGAGTCGGCATCCATACACGCAAGTTACCACAAGACAAATAGGGAACATTCTCAACTACATCAATCACTACCTCCTGCTTAGTACTTACAACTGCAAGGAACTACGATCCCTACCAGGTTCCTTAATTTTGCCATGCCAATCATACCACAAGACCACGCTTTCACATCCAGAGTACTTTCCCCTTTTTTCCACACTTCCAACATGACGATCAGAGGATGTCCCTAGACACCTCAGCAACAGCAGACCTGCACATGGGGGGGAATTTTTTAACCACTTGGCATGGTAAAAGCATGTTCCTTCCAGGATTGTCTGACACTTCTCCAACCAGATGGTCAGACGCAGCGTCTACCACGGGTTTGGCAGCGATCTACCGGGAACAATTGCTTTGGAGCTGTTGGCGATGGCATCCAGGTTTGGAAATTTTTCCACCACCTCAGCCCCTTTGGGAGATCTACCCCATTGTAGCAGCTGCTGAGGCATGGGGTAAATCATGGTCAGGGTCATCAATCCATTGTTACTCAGGCAACTAAGCATATGTCATATCATCAACAAACGCCACTACTCATCCATAAGGTCATGATATTTCTGGGGAACTCACTTGGTTGGCCACTTATCACATTTCACTTTCATGTACCAGACGGGGGTATACATCCCTGCCGACAACTGTCTCATTTATATTCCAGGCATGTTCATCATACGCTTCCTACAGCCGCCCATACAGTCACGGCCACTCTTTCGTTCCAGAGACAAAATCCTGGATTAGACATACTCATGTAGCATAGCATGCACTATCCCACCTAGCACTTTCGTCCCATACTTGTAGAACACATAACACAGCTTTTCACCTGGCTTAAAGAATCTCATTGGCACACGACATAGCTCAACCTGTGTCATAACATTTCTCCTAGGTTTTGCTTCTTTTTGCCACCTTAAACTTAAACTATCTCACACACCATTAATTATATATTTTAAAGGCATTCAACAACACAGGATAACCTATGGCCAAAACTACCATAACTTCATGCTATCATACCAGACAAGAATATACTCAGAGGTTTTCAGGAATCCATTCCCCCACGTTCCTCTCAGAGATTACCAATAGCCATCCAACTTTTCATCATTATCGGACCTATTAGATCTACAACCATTCAATTATACTACCAAGTCGGCCATTACCAGCTATGCACACTGCCTTTTATGCCTTTCTCAGGCCAGAGAATCCACTACCATCACCACCACTCAGACAGATCATTGTCTTCAATGATCCCACGTACGTAAACACATATATCATTACCTATTGGCTCTACCACATTCCGAAACGAGTCAACACGCACCAACAGTAGAGATAACATACTATCCTACCCACAACAAATGGTGTCCACTTTCGGTCCTAGATTCCTACCTTCAAAATCCTTTCAGGAATTAAATACTGTAATGCTTTTAAGGAAATGTCTGGTTAATTTGTATATATTTGTTGACTGTATTAAATCTTTTGATTATTCATTTTTGCCCTCTTTATTTACAGGCCTACCGTATCGTCGGTCTCGGCACACCACAACCGACTTGCTCCCTTTATACTATCCTACGCTTATGCTGGATCCTTACTCCATATACGGCTATTTGCCCCTTACACAAGTATTAAGGCCGTTTGGCCTGTATTTGTGGGAGGGGCTTAAATTAATTCACTCCCCTATATAAGGGACACCCCTTACCTGACTCATATCGCTTGAGGTCAGCATCAGAATGACCCTCCCACCCACTCCTCATTTCAACACTTTCTCTTTTCTTTCCATTTACTTTACTTTCTTACTCCTTGGTGGGCCCTCTTTATTTACAGGCCTACCGTATCGTCGGTCTCGGCACACCACAACCGACTTGCTCCCTTTATACTATCCTACGCTTATGCTGGATCCTTACTCCATATACGGCTATTTGCCCCTTACACAAATATATATATATATATATATATATAAAATACATTACTAAACACAAATACACACACCAGGCAAGTCATAATACTTGCTTTCCCACAGAAATCTTATTTTAACAGTGCTCTCACTGCTGCAAGGGATTCTGGGTAGGCATTTGCAAATGAACTCAACAAAGACCAACATGTTTGCCTCATTCCAATTTAAACATGGATTCCTTTGAGTCTGTGTCTGCTGTATACAACAGCTTTGAAACACAACTCAGGAAGAGGAGCAAAGCCAGTGAACCACTCATGGACAGCCGTTTCGTTGTTAATGCAACTCATCAACATGAGGTTGGTTACTGGCTTGCTATGGAGGCTTGGCGTTACATGTAAAATATATATATATAAATATATATATATATATATATATATATATATATGTGTATATATATATATATATATATATATATATATATATATATATATATATATATATATATATACACATATATATATTGCAATCAGCACTCACCTGCACATCACATTATTATATAAGACATACATCTTAACGTTGGCATTACACCATCTACATAGGTTTATTTAAAACATAGGGAAGAACTGAAAATTGAAGATATATTGTGTGTGAAAAAAAACCATCCTAGGATATAACAATATTGGGGTACTTTGGTGGAGTGGTAGGCATCCTGTGATGGTCTATATTTTACATCTGACATTGGTGTTTTAGGTTTCTTTTAATAAAATGACCGCTCCTTTAAAAGGATGTGTGTTAATTTCACTAAATGTCACTTTGTATAATTGTTAGAACAGGTTTAGGGTATTCCTCCCCAATAAAGCATGTGAATCTTTTTTGGGGCATTCTCACATTTGTGGCTTAATACTAGCACTTTAGATTTAATAGAGTTACACCTCGGGTCATACCAAAGCTCTAAACATAAAGACATGAAGCACCATAACCACTTCAAAACACTTAATGAATGGAGTAACCAAATAATGCATGCCAAGAATACATTACATGTAATACTTTACAGTCATAATAACAACTTGATAGCTTTTATTGAATATATGAAATGTAAGAAATAATGCATTTGTCAAATCCTGCACACGGCTCTTTAACACAGAAGACATATGTAAACTTTGTATGCCAAAGGCTGAATACCTTGACTTTTTCACTCCAGGGGTTAAGTCTATTCCACAGCAGCCACCAGCCAGACAAGCTGTCTCCATAGTTCCATGTGTTCCACTCCTTCTGCTGGCCAACATCAATTGCAAGAACAGTGCGGGCTCCAAGGGAATGAGCCACGTCCGCTGAAAATGGTGCAAAACTGGAGATGTCATAGAGCATTAGGGCAAGTAGGATGTAACTGAGAATTATATATAAGAGGAAAATTTAAAAATAAGTGTAGGAAAAATATCAATAAAAAATTAAAGTCATCAGTGAAATAAATTGAAAACTCAAGAAAATCAATAAAGGAACATAAAAAGGTAAATTAAAAGGAAAACACAAGAGATGCATATTGGAGAAAAGTAAAATGTCAGCACAGGTTTGTGATATATGAGTTAGATTAAGGGAAGAGAACGCAATAACATTATGCTTGAAGAAGTCACTGTAAAATGACTCCTATCGAAATTAAAATAAAAGTACTGACCTGGCAGGTTATTCACATAGCAGCCATCCAGGAGCAGGTGGGAATCCTGGGGGTCACAGAGTGGAGGAAGATAAGGGGTATAGGAGGCACTGGCTCGAACATAACGCCATAAGCAGCCTGTAGGAGAAGGACTGAAATTGTTACTGGTGTGAAGTACACACAGAGTGGCATGCGATCTCTGTAGAAAACGCGTACAGCCACCTTTCTCGGACAAAACTGGCAGCTAAGTGGGTGTCAGCAGGTCAGTGCTGTTTATCATATTTTACATTTGTATGTACTTTTCCCTACCAATTCGTATTTGTTACAATCTATGCTCGCATACCTCTTACCTTCTTTGTGAACTCGCATTGTAGAAGAGCTGATGTCGGTCGTGATGCTGAAATATGGTAGCCACAGATCCTAGAGATGAAAATTAGGATTAGGTCCGTGAAGTAACCAGTAGAGCCATAGAACAATGGAAGAAGGAATCAGGAAAGGCTGCAGCTAAGACTAAAGAGTGTAACCAAGAATAAGGTTGGGCTGTGCAAAGCATATCATTATACAAGGTTTATCCAGAAAAAAGTCCAGTCATTGTTAATATAACTGTTTGCGCGACATCAATGTAACCTGTCATCCAAGGAAAGTGGACTGGAATGCGCTTGCGTGAACAATATCGACTTCACTGTACTAGTCAGTGGGGAAGCTAGCCGTTGAGTGAGCATGTGTACTGTGTGGCAATCACACTCAAAATGACTGAGCGAGGAGAACAGCAAATCTGCATCAAATTTTGAGTTAAGCTGGAACATTCTTCTACGGAAACTATTCAGATGATTCAGAAGGCTTTTGAGGACAGTGCAATGAGTGCAGCACAAATGCTTCAAAGATGGTCAGGAATCTGTTGAAAGATTTCCGCCCTGCGATTTCATGCTTTTCCCAAAACTAAAATCACCTTGAAAGGGAAGAGATTTCAGACCATCAATGAGATTTAGGTTAATATGACGAGATCGCTGATGGCAATTCTCAGAAAGGATTTTGCAGAATGTTTTGAACATTGGAAGAGACTATGGGAGAACTGAGGTCCCAAGGTGCCAACTTTGAAGGGGACTGTGGCATCATTGTTATATGTACAATGTTTCTTGCATCTTATTCAATAAATGTCTCTATTTTTATATGACATGGCTGGATACTTTGTGGAACAGATCCGGTATAGTGACGGTGACTAGTGAATAGAGAGAAATGTGTAATACTTTTGATGTATTATAGCAGCCGAAAGGAAAACTGTCATCATTTATATTATTACTGAAAATAAAAGATTACAAGCCTCACTGTGTATTACTTTGTAGTATATATTTATATACATTGATAACCAATATTAGTTCATCTCCAGGCTTATCCTTGCATCCATTTATACCATGTTTTAGTCAGAAGTAGCACTTACCTTCTAAGACCATGAACAATCGGACGTTCTAAAACTACACATGTTTGACATTGCTGGCACTTGTGCATTGTTGCACACTAACTCTTCATTACCTGCAGAGTTCTTGACAGGATAATCCGTGCTTCTGACCAAAGAGGACTGAAAAAATGGGCGCCCCAAGGATGTATGGATATCTGTATATGTGTGTATATACACACACACACACACACATATATACATACATGCATACATACATACACACACATGCACACATATTACAAAATAATATGCACAGAGATATGTAATCTGCAGTCTTTTATCATGAATTTTATGTTTTAGTAATCATTCCATTCTGTAAAATAATAGTTTTTGCAAGTTAGATGGAAATAGACCACAATTAAGTCCCATGTGATACAAAGATTTACAGAATAACTAGGATCATGAGATTATATATATATATAAAACTTAAATATGTAATACTGGCACTCTACCTTTCTCCTCTCTGCCAGGGTGCTGTCCTCCGCTTATGTATAAATCTTCAAAGAAATAGGCGCACTCACAGGTCTTTTATGCGAACAGTTTAAATTAATGAATGAAACAAGGTTACATCAGAAAATCAACATTTCGGCCCCACCTGGGCATCTTGATAAAGCTTTTCTGATGTAGCCTTGTTTCATTCATTCATATAAACAGTTTGCACAAAAGACTTGTAATTGCTATTTCTTTGAGGAGATATATATATATATATACACATATGTAAATATATATGTAATTGTGGGAGGGGCTTAAGATACACTTGCCTATATAAGGTACACCCCTTACCTGGCTCCATATCGTTCAAGGTCAGCATCTGAATGATATCCATTTCCGGTTCATCCAGACGCCATCTTGGGAATACCTTTTGCTCCACGAGGTCTTCCAAGCTGAGCTGTGTCCATGAATCCAGCCGCAGGCTTTTCCGTCCGACCAGCATCTTTCTTCTGTCCATCGACGCGGATTGCGTCAAAGTGACTCACAAACCGTAAGTTGACCTACCCGTTACGCCAGACATCGTCCCACGGCATCATTCACGGGTCAGGTCCTCACTTTACGGTTCCGTTTGTCTAGTTCAGCTGCTATACTTTGCATGTTCGTGCACAACCGATCTTTAAACTCAACCGTTCGTTTAAATTCATGCACATGTATCTTGATTGCTCACTATGTATCTTGCCCGTTCGGGCATTCGCATACTCTCGAACGGGAACATGGTCATTTCATTGCCTGTCATATCTGGCAATGGTCGTTCGTGCTTTTAAACCGTATGAACGGGAAATATGCTTGTTTCACAAATTTTCCTGTCACACATACGGTTTACCCTTCATGCAATTATCTCCCATATGGGAACAACGTGTTATATTATTGTCCATGGTTTTAGTTCACGTTCGGGGTTCTAAATCCCTCAAACGGGATCACTGTTTGTCACTGCCTATTACCCCAGACTACATGTTCGTATATTTAACAACTCCCGAACAGGCTCTGCTTTCATTTATGTTTCATACAACCATTACGGTCGGAACATATAACTATCGAACGGCAGTTTGCAATAACTACACTGACACCTACAGGTCACACTTAAAATCTCAGGTACATTGCATTTTGATTCAGGGGAATTAAACAACACTTATGATTACTGACCCCTACCGATAGCCAAACAGCTGTTTCACATACCACATAATTTTTTTCCCAGCTGGTATGACTTACACATATTATAAAGTAGCCAGTCACTTTCTGCATATATGTAACGATAATCTATTTTCATAAACACATACACACAGCACTATGCTTACAGTATAATACATTCTCCCTAGCAAGGTGAAATATAGCATACAAGAAAGGCACAGAGCATTTTCCACTTGTACATGCAGCACACAATGGGTTAAGATTGATACATATTTTAACCATGATGGTTACAAGGTTTTTATATTTACATGTTACGGTACTTTATTTTTCTCATATATACTGCACATATTAGAATAGGCTTGGTCTATGCCATACTCCATTATGTCATACGGTTTTTTTATCCATTCAGGTTACAGGTACTACTAAAAACCTATACGGATTGTCAGGTTCAATACCATACTACCAAGTACGTATACCTGCTCACATAGTATATTCATATCCTATCTTCCATGGAATAGTTAATAGTGTACTGGCAATGAGGGTTTTAGAGTCCAATAGGTATTGCCCCTCTTCTCTGCATTATGCTTTGGTTTAGTGGTCCCGCAAGGCCAACACCCCGCCTCACACTCACCCATCGGGCCTCTCATGAGCTAGCCGACTTGCATTGTATCATAGAGAGGGCCTCACCTGTCACTCCCTTTCCTATTTTCTGGTTACTGTCACCGAGAGGCCAACATCCTGCCACTATGTTTGGTGGCCACAAAAATCCCGTCGTGCCAACGCATAGATAGAGCTTCTCAAGCCACTTGGCAACTAACAGGGCCTCACCAGTCACCAAAAAACACCAAGCCTAATTGTCTCACCTTACAACTTAGTTAGCAAGCTAGTACAAGACCCCTGGGGTTCAAATAATAATTGCAATCTTCATTGTCATTTAAGTATGTCTCAAGAAGGTGGCTAAGAATTAGCTCTTCGAAACACCTTCTTGTAGAGGAGATGTTGCTAGTCCAGCATCAATCAGATCCTGGACGATCCCACGCATTACCACAGAGCTAAGGAGGTGACAAATCCCCTACCCAGCCACAGCAAGAAAAGTGGAATTATTCAAACTTCTCCGCACATCAACTGATAACACGGAGGCGGGGGAAGGCCCCAGCAACACCAACTTGGGTGACATCCAGGCTTTGCTAGTCAGTCTTGCTCATGAACTTCATGAGCAAAGTTAACGACAGACTGGCTAATCTCGAGTCGGTCACCACAGCCCTCACTAAGGCAGGACCTCCCGCTACTGTACAACCAGCACCAACTGAAACTCTGTTAACTGGTACAATCAATGCTTCTCATACTCAGGACGTTAACCCGGCACATTTGATCCCAGCACACATTAAAAGAGATATCCTGGAAGGTAAAGATGTCAACTTAGCATCTCTCCTAATTGCCTCCCAGGATATTGTGGAAAACAAAACCTATATGTATAACGATGTATCTGTGGTGGTCAGATCCAGGGATTCCAGGTTAAACCGGAAACTGACCATCCCTGAGTTTGTTTTGGCATTTGGCATATACAGAGATGTTATTTGTGCAGTGTACCCTAGCAGAAGGGAATAATTTGATCTATATAAGCACAATCTGGTAGACCTAGGAAACAAATATGGTGGTTCGGCTTATGACTATCATAGGTCATTTTCTACCAAAGTGTCTGGCACTCTCTCCCAGTTTGGTAACAGAATCAGCTGGAGCAGACTGGATACAGAGATTTTCTGCAGACATTTTGCAGGTCTTAAAACATCAGCTTGTGCATCCTGCTCTTCTACTACCCATACAACAAATGTTTTTCCAAACACGACGGACGACCACTCTCAGTCCCCAAACACTAGAGACAAACTGGGCCGTCCTATCATATTTTTTTGCAAATCACAGATTTGCAACAATTTCAATGTGGGAACATGTAGCTTCAGTGCTTGTAGATCGTTGCATATATGTTCACAATGTTTTAGGGCGCATGCAAAAACCATGTGCCCCAATAAAATGTACACTAAACCGTACTTAACGTCTGCCAACATTCATGCTTTTTCAGCACTACTGACTAATCACCCTTCCAGACATTTAGTAGAATTTCTCATATCTGGATTTTCAAAGGGGTTCCATACAGGTTTCATACATATGCCCTTAGGACATCTAGAATGCCCTAACTTACAATCAGCACAGCAGAACCCAACGGCTGTAGACTCACTCATAGCCCAATAACTGGCAGAGGGGTTTCTGTTTGGGCCTTTCAACACCTCTCCATTTACTGCATAGCGCACAAACCCCATTGGGATTGTCACAGGGAAATCTTCCCTTAAACAGAGACTTATCATAGATTTATCGGCACCTCACACCTCTACTACCCCAAGTCTCAACTCCCTCATTCCCTCCGAGGAGTTTTCCCTACAATATGCCACCATAGATCATGCCATTACAGCTATCACCCAAGCAAGACAGACATCACCAATGCTTTCAAATTACTACCAATCCACCCTACACTCTGGCATTTACATAGCATCAAAGGGCAGACAACTACTATTTCTTATCCCGCTTAACCTTTGGTTCAAAAAGTAGCCCCAAAATCTTTGACACATTCGCCGAAACACTTTGCTGGCTCTTACTAAACATATCCAGATGCCCCACAGTCATACATTATCTAGATGACTTTTTGTTTGCCGAAGAAAACACCTTTCCCCCCAGAAGCCTAAAGGAAGCGATTAGTCTGTTCGACCACTTGGGCGTCCCAGTATCCCCTAAGAAAACTGAAGGCCCAGACACTATCATCATTACATTCCTGGGCATACAACTTGAATGTA